CAGAAGCAGTATTTAAGCTGCACTTCAAGAGTTCGAAAAGTAAGAGTAGCGGACTTAGTTCCGAGTTTATGCTTCGTGTTTCAATTTAGCTCTCTAATCGGTGTTAGACAGATTATATTGATATTTCTAGGCTCGGCTTTGCTGTGTGCAGTCGATTTAGGCGTTTAGTTTAAGCTAAGGAGCCAGTCGTTAGCCATCTTAATTTTATATACATTTTACATTGTTATTTTCTGTTAATCTAGTTAGCCACAAGTAGTGATGAACTGTGAGTACCAAGTGCGTGTATCTGTTTTAATTTAGTTTAAATAAAAATTTTATTCTGCAGCATTTATTCTTCAAAGACATTGCGAGTATTCGCTACTTTGTCTTCTACGAAGAGTCTACATTTTATGCTACCAAAAGAGAGTGAAACTCTATAAACGATGAAACAAGATCGCCCAAGTGATTAGCATTTTTAAATGTGGAAAGAGAATAATTTAAAATGATCGACTTAGTTGGATGGAGTAGTTGATAAATTTGCTTCATATCCTAGGCAAGAATATATAGTTGTAGAGACATTAGGTATTTTTTTGGAAGCAAGCAAGATGAAAAATGAGCAATCGCCTTCGCCGGGAATCAAACCACGGACCTCTGGAATACCGGCCCAGTGTGCAGAACTACTACACCACGAAGGCATGCTAGGAAGGCGGGAGAAATACCTTATATACTCCCCCTTTTAAAGGGCGACTGTGGTTTTTAGGGGTTCCAATCGCCAAATCCTGGGAGTGGAGAATCCTCATTCAACACCCTCTTAGTTCGGGCGCCACTGCACAGACATTAGGTATTTTTTGGAAGCAAGCAAGATGAAAAATGAGCAATCGCCTTCGCCGGGAGTCGAACCACGGCCCTCTGGAATACCGGCCCAGTGTGCAGAACCACTACACCACGAAGGCACGCTAGAAAGGCGCGAGAAATACCTTATATACGAGTAGTAATTAATTGTATTCATGTATTATATTATTATATTATTATTAATAATTATAGTTACCTATCTGTAACTTTTTATTGTTTAAAAATTATACCTTTTTTTAAAACAATTATATTAATATGTAAAACAAATACTACCTTTTTAACTAATTCTAAATCATCTTATGTCTGATTTTTCGGCCGACACAGATGCATTTCTGAATCCAATGCTAATCTGGATTTTTTTACTAGATTTTCTGCCTCATATTTAAAGCTGAGTCCGTTATCCCGAAAACTTGTTAGCATTTCGTAGAAGTGTAGTTAGGTAGTAACTATTCTTAATATATTTTAGAGTATTTTATGGTAGATTCAGCATTTTATTATTATTTCCATTATTTTCTTATTACGAGTATATTCTATATATTAAATTACTGTGTTTTTTTTTTCGGGGGGGAGCGACAAAAAGGTATTTTGCTCAGTGCGCCAGTTATGCTCACTACGCCACTGCTTGTGTAAGGAAATATGAGGTATTTTATGTTAAAAAATCCTCCTCGAATTCATCCTTCTCCTTATGCACAATGGAATTTCACAATTTCTTGGGGGGGAAGTAGGCCAGCCTTTTTTCTGGGGAAGGGGAGTACGGTCAGCCTTTTGTTTACGTGTGGAATGGTCGTCTAGCAGTGATTAAAGGGGTGCTAATATTTTCTCTACTGGGACAAAACAAGGTTAAGAACCACTGATCTAAATAATCGCAATCGCTTAATAAGTAAGTCAAGCAGGCATCCCCACTAGAGGCAGACAGAACTCATATGCTTTATTATAATCCTCTAAACGAGAAAACGGGGTTTGCTTATCAATCGATCTTCACATCATTCTCTCCATTTTATTTTAGACATTTCGTAAGCATGAAAAAGTAAATATAAAATAAAATTATTAGATTATTTGGCGAATTTGAATTGATTACAAAACTTTTTTTTATGCCAATGTTAGCAGATTGCATTTCCATATGTATTGAAACATTATGCAAATTAATACAATAGCATCCATATAAAATCATGTTCATAAAAGCAATCTTACCTTTGTTCGTGTTTTGTTTCCGACCTGAACCTGGGCGATTATCAGAGGAAGACTCCATGCACTGCGAATCAATAGGGATTTCAATCCCAGCTTTAAATCCAAGTGGACAGGAAGAGCTCGATTGAGAAATACTCGCTAGCATCAAATTACGGCTCAGTTCTGTTTCGTAATACGGTTCGTAATATGAATAAGATGGAAATTTCCAGTCAGGATTGCGAAAAATTCTATAATCTTTAGAAAAAATATCTGCTGATCTTTCAATAAATGGATAGTTATGGTTATTATTCGAAAAGAAACTCACGTCTCTATTTTGATACCGACAAAACATATCTGATTTCGAAACGGTGGACAATTCTTTCAGACTTGGTGATACTTCACAATATTTTTCTTGCTCCATATTTATTTAATTACTTATTCAGTACTTCTGATGGAAAACGAAAGAGCGAATAAATCCCGCGTCCGAGTTCGTGATAAGTCTAATCCTAACATAATAAGAAATCACTCGCGCTTAGGGTGAAAAACGTTCGGTCATAGAAAACCATCTGCGCCTGCAGCTTTTGCCCTTTTGAACTAACGGCGACGAAAGTGTAAATAAAGGAAATATTTATTATTTTTGATCAGAGAGGAAAGGTATAAGTGGGAAGGGGAAAGAGAAGCAAACTTTTAAGTGTCATGCAATGCGAAAGGTCTGTAGCCTTGGGTATGTATATGCGCATTGGGCAATCTACTGTAAATGTGGTCGAACAGGCACCCTGGTGTTGCACCACTCTCTCTCGTACTTAAATCGAGATCAAATTGATGTTAAGAAAAATGGTTTCAAACTCAAATGCATGGCCGAATGCACGAAGCAGTTGATGGACCGATATTTGTTTTAACAAATGGAAATGTCTTAACTATTAAAATTAACTAAACTTTAAATTTGGTTTACTAAATATTTATCAGAGCGTACAGTAATAATAATGACACAAAAGGGGAAAAAATATTTATATTTTGCTGAAATCTAAAGGTTGGTATCTGAAAGAAATTTTTGCTGGTTATGCTTTGCAAATCAAACGTATTAACAGTAAAATTTTTAATTTTCAGACATTTACATGAGATAATTCTAATATGCTGAATTAATCACTAAATAACTAACTTTTAAATTAAAATTAACAAATTACGAAAACCTTACAACTTCAAAATAAATTATAATGTTGCGAGGCCCCAACTTGTCAGCAACAGTGGTAGTGACTGCTTTGAATTGTAAATTACACAAACTCGTAAGAAGGGTTTAAATCCCTTTTTATTCCACTTTAGAAATACAGCTGCGTTCACTTGACGCTCACAAACTACGCTGACCCGGCGGTTTAACAAAATAGAAAAGTACAACTAAAAATAAATGACAGGATGAATAAATAACGAAATCACTATCTACGAGGCTCTATAATCTTAACTAACTTAACCGCGTTCACTTGACGCTCACAAACTACGCTGACCCGGCGGTTTAACAAAATAGAAAAGTACAACTAAAAATAAATGACAGGATGAATAAATAACGAAATCACTATCTACGGGGCTCTATAATCTTAACTAACTTAACCGCGTTCTAAGATACAGCTGAGATTCAGCAAATTTACTGTTTAAGAAGTTGAAAGATTCAACGAACTGCCGAAATAGGCACACAGGCCGAAACGCGCGGTTCTTAAATTTCTACCTAACAACCTTCACGCTCGCGATTCAAGAAGCACACTTACAATCTCGTTTTCCTTCTATTTAAATTCAATTTACCTTCTGCTAAAATTTGAATACTCTGCGCGTTCTACTACGATTTACATACTCTGGCATTGGCAATTCTAGGGGAAAGTAAAGGCTTGACAGGAAAGATAGCTTAAACTTAAAATAAATGTTAGTTAAAATAAATATAAACCCTACAAAATAATGGAAGAAACTTCAAAATAAATAATGACAAGCTATTCTGATTCTTTTATTCAACAAATTTTTCTTTGACTCATGCAGATAAAATATTTGTATGTAAATAATTAAAAATTTCTTTATTTCTTGCTACATCTTTCCTCGTGGAGTTTAGATGTCGATGAAGTTTGTATCCTCGGAGAAAAATGACTCGTACTGTAGACCTCAGTGGTTAATCTGAGTCTTTCCCAGTCTTATTAATTTTCATCTGCGAAAATATGTTCCTAAACAAACAGATTATTCTTGCTGCAAAAATCTATTATATTCTTTAGAAAAGTACGAAAGAAGGTTAATCTGTATCTTTAGGTCTTTGAATAAGATTTATATCAGAGTGTAAATTAATTAGATGAGGTTGTAGATTTTCTGGGGCGCTACTTACGTTTGTTACTTGCATTTGTTTACATTTCTTTAAATTATATTTTTGACGAGCAGTGTACGTATATGTATTTTTAGTTCTGTGTAACCATGATTACTCGTATGTAGTGAATGAACTCTTGAAAGGTTGCTATGGAATAGACGGCATTTTAAATTTAATTTTTAATTCGTTGAATCGATGACAGACAAATGTCTTCGTTACACATATTTAAAATTCTGACATTTTAATATATTGTCCCTTTTGTATCGAATGCGTTCTGTTTTAGATCTTAAGAAGTTGGGTTTGTTGCATCTCCTCTCGTCTGTCTTTCAATAGATCACTTTCTTTTGGTCAGAAATAATTAGAATTACTAAAAACTAACAAACGGAAGGAATTTTTTATAATATTGTGCAGCACTCTGATATTCTCCCAAAGGAGTATGTCACCTCTTTCAGTTTCTCGCTGCATTAATAGAATACTAGGCTTCGATTTTTTTCAAACTTTGTGTAGATACTACGTGTTTTCTGCATTCGTAAGCATTTGGAATAATTTTAAACTTTATGTTTGTAAGGTTTAATAATCGTTCTAAATTTGTCGAACACGTGATTTGAACAGTACCGTCTACAAATTTACACACAAAACTGCATTGTTGAAGTTTATCTAAAAACATTAATTTATGTGCAAATAATTTATTTCTGCAAATTTTCAAATATTACAAAACTCAGAACTTAGAGAACATACTTTTCCATTGTAAAACATTTCCAGAATTACAGCATCATATTCCAGCAAGTAAAAGCAGTTAGAGAAAGCATAAAACTATTTGTCTAATGTATTTTTAATACAGCTGACAGCTTTATATTAATTTAAAGTAAAATAGAGTGATTTCGTTTGGAACTTACATTATGTAAGTTTAAAATACTGTATTCCTCGTCAGAATAAAGACTATTTTTATAAAGTGTTTTATATTATCGCATGTTATAAAAGCTACATGTTCCTCTTTTTCCAATCTTCTCTTTGTTGATTTATTAAATTGCGAGTGGTTCTTTTGCTGATATACAATTCATTATTTTAGATGTAAAAGGAATAAGCAAATCCTGTTTGTAGTTCAGCTGCTAGATAATATTTGTTCGCAAGTGGCAATGGTCAACTCGAGCTTGTTCTGTTATTTTGATTACTTTTGATCTGTAATAGAATAAAACATATTATTAATCGCAAGCTATGTATTAATGCTGTATGTTTATAATACTAAAAATCAAACAAAATTTATTACGATGCTGCTGCAATACAACATTTTAAAATTATTTCAATGACTCACATTTCTTTTTGGACACTTAAGTTTTCCAGTTTTATATGCAAATATCAGTCACCGAATGCTAAAGAAATAACTTTATTATTATTTTTTTATGTGTACTATTGATCATCGGTTTTAAAAACTGCTTATTTGGAAAAAAATATTCAAAGCGTTTTCGTCCAAAACAAAATTCAAAAAGTTCTGAAAATGAATTTACATATGTATTCGGATAATTTGAATAAGCAGGTTATATTAAATAAAAACACTACAATAACGGGATATTAAATGTTTTTTTGGATATACTTTAGTTAAAATTGCATTTTTTCATGCATTTTTATGGCTTGGATTCAACTACTTGTTTTCAAGTAAGAATATTCTATTTTGTACTAAGCCTCCGTAAGAATTGCTTTTAGTACAACTTTCAAAGAAATGTCATGTTTTAATTGGTTATCCAATCTGTATTTTCTCACGGATACAACAGCTAAACTGAACAAACTGAATGACGATCTCCAGGGAAAAGAAAAAAACCCTTTTTCAATTGACTGGGACTGTAACTACTTTTCAGATAAAGATAAATTTGTGGATAAATCAGATAGAAGAAAACAATTTCATCCATTTTCAGAATTTATCAAGCCATATTAATAACCACAAGGCAACTGAAACAGAGAAATACTCGGAAAACCTAAATGCACTAAATTTTGAACTTCACTTCTCTGATTTCCATAAAGTTCAGCAATATTATTATTCATCTCAAAACCATTTGCCGAAATTAATATTTCAGATGTATCACATAAGATTGGAAATATGTTTAACAAAAATGTTATGTTTTGGAAATGTGCTCACGATAGGCCAAATTGTGATCGCGAGAGGCCAAAATGTGTTCGCGAGATGCCAAAGGTTGGGCAGCACTGCTCTATACACATTCGATAGGATTTAAGTCCGAAGAACGTGGTGAGATTTTTAATACCTTCACGACAGTGTAAAATTACAAGAGAATATTTAGGGATGCATGTTTAGTATCGTTACCTTAACAATATTTGAATGTATTTTGTATTAAGTTTATTACACATGCCTTTAGGTTTCCGTTGCGAATATATATATATATAAGATAAAAAATGTGTAAATCATCTTTATAATTTAATTTAGTAATGGCCTCTTAATTGCTTTTTATTAATTTGGTTATTTCCTTTTTATTCTAAAAATAATAACAACATTTCTAGGCTTGCCGCCTAAATCGTATAGTGGTTAGGGAATCGACTGCAATACCAAAGGGCCCGGGTTCGAATCCCGGAGAAGACATGGTTGTCCCTTCAACAAAAGACAAAGGTGGCCCATATATTAGGTGCCTCCGTAATAAAGTGACTACCACTTCTGGCTTTAGTAGTGGCAAAGGCCAAAGAAAGGCCGCCACACACACACACACACACACACAAAAAAAAAAAAAAAAAAAAAAAAAAAAAAAAAAAAAAAACCTTATTTTTGCATTTTTGGACTACGTCATTGTGAAAAAAAATAACGGTACCTAGAGACATCCAACTCTGAATAACATAGTCCTCTACTCGAATTTGGATTTTTTTTAATATCGATTTCATATTTTGTAAAACTTTAACGAATTTTTGATTAAGAAACTCAACGATTTCAAAGATTTCCATTAACATTAACTTCGCTTGCATTTTCAGGCACAAATATTTGTGCGCGTTTTTTTTTTTTTTTTTTTTTTTTTTTATATTGCTGCTGAATTGAATTTTATGGTTTAGGTGCGAAGAACATAATATTTAATAAATAAAGATAACACACAAAACTTTAAAAAAAAACGCCCTTTTGGGTGTAATATAAAATATAAATACTATTTCAAATTTTTTTTAGATATTTCGAATACGTTTACCACGTTAAAAATGAGGAATAGTTAAATTTCTAAGTGTCTTGCTATGTTCATTCCAGATATGAAACTTTTAATATATTTTACTAAATAAGTAATAATTTTCAAATGCTGACGGTAATTCTCGTGATGTATTTTAATTTAAAATAAAACATTATGACAAGAAATTTCATATGTTAAAATAACAAAAGCCCGAGCTATTATGCGAGTTACCGACGATAATGTTTAAAAAAAACTGTTCTATTACAAGGAATATTGCGATAACTTTTATTTTGTAACAAGCATGGCTTAAAACAGAGAAAAAATACTATATTACAAAAATATTTCGAGTCTGTGTTTCAATTTAATGCATTCAAATAAATTCCTATGCAAATAAATTTCAAAAATACAAGTGACCGAAAACAAATGTAAGCCACTATATATTGTAATCGAGTCAGGCCATATATTTTAGGCCACATATTTTAAAATACGTCAATAAAATGTTTGAAAAAATTGATAGTTTAGGATCTCAGTCGTCGGTTGTGTTATGAAAATATTAAGTTTCGAAAGTCCAGTGCTGTTGCTTTGAAATTTTATGTCTAGAACTTGCAAATTTCAAAGAAATTGCGTGCTACCATTACCTTATGATCGCAATGAAATGTGTAAAACAATTAGAGCAATGTTAATTAACTATATTTCCAAGCAAAATAAAAGTTAATTGACTAATTTAGGTTATGTCAATCTAATACTGAATTTCCTTTTCTGAAGTAAGATCGCTTTGTAAAGTACTATTCCTATTAATACATATAATGTGTTCTAGAAATAACGGATGTAGCTTTATCATTAACAGACTACAAAGAATTCAAGATCCTTTATAAAAGTAATTTATGCGCATATTGCAAAGATTCCATGTCGTCTGCAGCGTCACTGCTTTGCAATTTTCTGAAAATAACCTAAAAGTAAATACATACATAAATAAAAATCTAAACTAAAGTGCTTTGATTTAAAATTTTGAAATTTAGAGTATTTTTTAATTTTTTCAGAATAAAATCTAAATATAAGAATTATAACTTCCAATCTAAAGAAAGCATTTTTGGCATGTATCTCTAATACAATAACAAGGAGAAACGTTTAGCTGAGGAGTAAAAGTCTTCTTTAACCAAGATAGCATCACAAGAGCTGCTTACCTAAAAGAGGTAAGCAGCTCTGTTCTTAGAGATTCAACAGCATAAGGAATGACAATAAAAGAGGTAAGCAGCTCAGCGCTTAGAGATTCTGTTCTTAGAAAATTCAACAGCAGGTCCATTGCGAAAAAATGTCCTTCGAAACAGCAGTGGAATTTAGCTTATTGAATATAAATGTGATTAGACGCATTAAAAATAGGTACTTTCACAGCATTTTAATTAAAGAAATACAAAGGTTTCTTCATGAATTGTTCGCATTGTGTTTAATGCAGAAATTCATTTATAAATTGTTCGTAACATTTCTGGAAATTATTTGACCGATGCTATTCCCTTAATCTTTAATCGAAGGGCTTCACTGGAAGAAAATATGCCAGTGTAAAACTTAAAATGAGGCAAAAAACTCATAGTTTGATGCAAATGTTTTCAGGGGATACTTTTTTTTTTTCAGTAAAAGGGGGAGATCTACAGATTTTTTTTTTTTTTTTTTTTTAAACTCCTGAAGTAAAATGCCCTGTGCAAGGAATACTTACGTCTTCTTTGACCTGTATCTGATCACTCTCAAAATGGTTAGAATTATTAAAATATACATTAAGTTTGCTTTTTTATGTTATGCCATTTTAGTGACGGTTAATTATAAGGGTAATTTATGATTTCTTAGTTATTTAATTTTTTTAATTGGGAGAACTGGTTTCTAACTATTTATATAAATTTGTAAAGCTAATAATAATTATATTAATCGCTTGGAGTATATAAGACCGCAAATTTCATTATTTAATTTTTACGGTACGATTCTACGAAAGGAAACAAAAGAACATGAGAGAACATTCTAGAAGTAAGGGAAAATTAGAAAGAATGATTTTAAATGTTTTTCTTTTTTGAAGCTGTAGAATGTGTCGTTCTCATATATTGACTACGGAAACTTCGCTAAATGGGGGCAATTTGCCTTTTATGATAAAGAGAAATTTCCTTTACCGTGGGAGAGTGGTCTTGGACTGAACTCGTTGCCATTCTTGAACATGGCGACGGAAACCCAACAGTGAATAAATACCTGTGTTTGACGAAAAGAGAGGACTGAGTGGACGGACAGCAACGGTCATTAGTAGCGGACTGAGGGAGTGAAAAGTTTGGAGGCAAAATCTCCAAATATCCCTCTTTTGACGAAGAGGAGAGGATATAGTGAACGGACAGAAAAGGGTTATGTAGTGGTGGAAGGAAACAGCCAAGAAATGTGGTTCAAGGACTTTCAAAATCCCTTGTTTAGTCTAGCGGAGACCTGAGCGCCGCCTGAGATAACCACTGACCTGACTTTGTTGTAAGAGTCTTACAGTGGTAATAGTCATCCTGGCAGAAGGGGATATTTCCTCCGTGTAAAAATATAAATAAAAATATTACATGGGCATACAAGGCCTGCGTATTAGCATAGATACGTTGATTACAAACATTGTCTTGTACAAGTTATATGTGATAGTTACATAAAATCATGACAGTTAAGTGTACATTTAAACATTATCTGAATTCATATTTACAATACTTTTACTGGGATAATCAAAGTAAACTTATAATTCATTTACACACTGACTGGATTTTCAATATCATTTAAACTGCTTTACAATATTATTTTTATCAAGTACATACAAACTGGATAGTAATATGCTTACATTACAATAGTTTTGCTCTTACAGTCCTGTTAATATTCTACGGGGTGACCTATTTTTCTAGTGTTGATTTTCAGTTGTTGTAGTATTTTGAATTGCTATTAAAACTATGCTGCGAAGATACAATTCTCAAGGGAGGGGGAGAATTTCTTAGTACTTTGCTGAGCATAGCCTGATTACCTCCTCTATTTTAG